TTTTTTTTTTTTTAATCAGGGTTTTCCATGAAAGCATCGGCGTCCCAGAACAGCCAGGGTAAATCTGCCCTCCGAGGTAAATCCCATCTGCCTGACAGGGTAAATCACATTAGCCCCCGAGGTAAATCCCAGCCCCAGAAGTTATTTTTAGTTGTGGATTTCCCCCTATTTCTTATTTATTTATTTTTGCATCAGGGGTTTCAAAGAAAGCACTGGCAAAAGCCACAGCCTAGTCCAGGGAGCTATTGGGGGCTGAATAAGGCTTGTGCTAGCGCCTCGGAATGTCGAGGTGGCTGTGCCAAGGTGCCAGGATCCATCCGCCATGGGGGAGGTGGTAACAGCCCTATGAGTCTTCCTGGCAGCTGGAGCCAAATGGACACCCTTCGGCCCCGGGAATCCCCTGCCCTGATCCCTGGGAGGGGGCAGGGGGAGAAGCTACCTCCACTCCCCAGGGGCTGGAGTCCCCCTCCACCTCCCCAGCGCCGTTTCCATCCAAAAAGCCCCAGGAAGCCTGGTTTCTCCCACCCCAGCAGTGCCTAGCCCCATTTCTCCCAGGAACCCCAGCCCCAAAGTAGGCTCATTAATGCTCCCATGAGTCCAGGATTTCCACCACCATCATCCGTGGTGGGCCCCTTAGGACCTGGAATGCTCACATCGCAGAAGCAAGCCACACTTTCCAGCTAATGAGACTCATCCTGGTCCCCTGGCTCATTCCCAGGGTGCTTTTCCCATCCATCCCACTTAAATCCCTTTGGCACATCAGCACTGGCAGAGCTGGAGCACCACAACAGTGGGGTGAACATGGGGACACTCACCCCTAACCCATTCCTTGCCTTTTCCTCTGGAGCCAAAAGCCAGGGGAGATGGCCAAAGCCTATTTTTAGCTCTCATCATAACAGCAGCTCTATTCCCACCCAGATGTAGTGGTTTCTGGATGGACCAAAAACCAGAAACCCTCACCTGCCTCCCACCAAGCTCAGACAGCCTGATGTTACTGTGTCCCACCCCACCTGGGGGGGTCCTGAGGGTACCCTGCCCTGGGAAGCCTAGGGACGTCAAGCTAGGAGGAAGGAGGAAAGTTCCCAGGGGTCGGTGATCTAGTTGGACCCGCTGGTGCTTTTTGGAAGCTCCAAATGCTGCTTTTCCCTGTGGAAATGGCCATGGACAAGGGGCATTTGGCAGGTACCAGCTGCACCCCAAGCTCCTGTTGGCTGTTGTGGGGATGGAGGCTGCAGCTGGGGCAGGGGGAGAAGGTTTGTATCACCTTGTGCTCCAAGAACCCAGTGTCTTCTCCCTCATCTCTTCCTTTTCCCATCTTGCAGCCCCTAACCCAGGATGCTGGATGCTGCAGCACCCTGGGGACACCCCAATGCCATGGGTCAGCGCCCACATTATGCCTGGCTAAGCCCACAGCAGCAAAACCAGAGCCCAGCACAGGGGGATCAAGATGATGGCGCTGCAGGTGGGGGTGAAGTTAATTTAACTTCATTCTAGGCAGTTAAGCAGCACCTTCCCAGGGAGCAGGACCTGGCTCCGCAGCTCAGCCAGCCAGGGGTCAGATCTGCTCCCAGGCCAAAGGGAAACTGCGGCATTACCCAAGGGGAGGGGAAAATCATTTCTGCTCCCAACACCCCTTCCCTGGGGTGCTGACACCAGGGAGATCAGGCCAGGCAGGGGTTGCCCTCTGGATACCACCTGAGGCAGCAGAAGCAGCCCAGAACCTCCTTGCCTCTATGTGGTGTATCCTGGTGGAGCAGCATCACCCATTCCAGCCTACTAGAAGCTCAAATTCAGCCTCGGGGCACCAAGTGGCCAATTTTTAGAAGGCTAAAAAGTGAAAAAAGCCTATTTTCCTTCCCTCCCAGGACTCCAGCTTCACCTCCAGATGGTCCCCGGGGCTCAGCACTGTCTTCACTCCTTCCGTATCAGATAAGCACAGCAGCACCCCAAATAACTGGCGGCCACCTCGGGCCGGGAGCCGGCAGCCCAGGGTTAATTCCTCCCATACCTGAACTGACATTTGAACGCTATTACCCAATTACCCAAATTCCTACAGTAACCCTAGAAGTTCCCATCAGAGTTTGGGAGGCTACCACCCACCAGGGGGTTGTTTTCCCACCCAGGCATGCACCTCAGCTCCCTCACCTCAGTGATGAAGGAAAAAAAAAACCCAGTCAAATGACCTGATTTTTATTATGTAAAAATTGTAACTTTTATAAAAAGTTTATAAAGCAAGTACAAGGCATGTTTGCAGAAATTCACCTTCCTGCACAAAAGGTACAAAAAGTTATACTCTAGTATAGAGCTCCACATTACACGAGGCCACGGCCCCAGAGAGTTTGGTTCATATTCGAGGATGTTTGTCCCCCCCTCCCCAAAACCCCTTAATCCCCACCCTGCCATCCCAATAAACACCTTTAAAAAAAAAGGACTCGCTGCTAYAATCCAAAAATATACAGACAACCTCCTCTTCATCATCAGTCTATCATTAAAAATATCTCATGTGAGTTCGGGTCCAAAGCTGGGATACTGAGCTCGGCGGGTGGAATGCTGGTGGTGGAAGGCGGCGGGGGGCGTCGGGACCAGCCGCTCCCCGCTCGCAGTGCCCGGGCCCGGGGCAGGCGATGCCGGGGCCGGTAGGTCGCAGACAGCCCGGCGCCACGGAGGAAACTGCTATTTACCTCCGGCTGATAACGAACCAGGAACCGACACTCACTGCCTGTTTGCTAATTGGCACCGGGAGCAGAGAGGAGAGGGGGAGGGAGGAAAAAAATAATAGAGGTAATTAGTGTGGTGATAAGTGGTGTTGGGGATGGAGATCTGCGAAGAGGGGATAGGAGCCAGGAAACCCGATTGCTCAGGGCCATTATCTGGTCCCCGGCTGGGGATGCTGGAGGTGGGTTGGTGCGGGTGGGCGACTGGATTGCAAGTGGGATACTTGTGGGGGATTGGGATCATTATCGACGGTGGGTTGGGGGAGGTGGAGTGGGGTGCGGGTGGTGAGAAATTGGGATGCGAGGGGGAATCGGGGCGAGGGGAGCTTGGGCTGCTGGGGWTCGGTTCTCAGGGATTTTGATGCTTCGGGGCAGAAGGGGGTCCCAGGATGCCCCCTGGGGCGCGGGCGTATGGGAGGACTGGGCTGCGGATGGTGGTCTTGGTGGTGACTGGGGGCGACTCTCACCCGATGGAGACAGCATTACTGACACAAACTTCTCTCGTCTTTGGTGCGGAGTTCTGAGGCAAGTTCAGCCGCCTGCGGAGAGAGGGGACAGGGCTTAAGGTCATTTTGGCGGMTGCCATCTGAACGGCAGTCCCCATTCCTCCCCATTCCCCACCGTGCCAGGACCCACCGACATACTCGGGGATCCTGCAGCACCCCTATCTCGACATGGTATCACCTCCAACCTATCACAGCCTCTCCCCCCAAATCGACATTATCTACCCGCCAACTCAAAGCAACCCTTACCTTAAGGGAAAGTAGGGTGGCCTCGGAGGAGGGGTCGCGGCCCTTGGATCCCTCCTCMAGCACGATCTGGAGGTCGAAGATGTAGTCTATGACGTGCTGCAGGATTTCCACCTGGCTCACCTTCGTGCCTTGAGGTATGCCCGGCACCAGCTCCCGCAATTTGGAATAGCAGTCGTTCATATCGTAGAGCAAGTTCATGGGCTCTTCCAAGGCTGGACTCTTGTTGTGGCTGCCCCGGGCAATGGCCAAACTCTGCTCCGAGAGGCAACAAACGGCCTCGTAGCAGCTCCGTACGGAGCGCACCGGGCTGATGGCTTTCATGGTGGGCTCAGAGCAGGTCTGGAGATGCAGGACGGGGGATGCCTGGGAGCCTCGGGGGCTGTCGCGGCAGCGGGGGCTTTGCTGGGACCTCCGAGCGCCGAGACCGTCAAAGCGGGGAGCACTGAAAGCCTTAACTGTCACCCCCTGGAACTCCAACCTTCGGACCTCGCCACAGACTGAAGGGGGACCTTTGCCCCCCCCACCCCGCGCCGGCTCTATATAGGCAGCGCTACCCGACCACGCCCACTCTATGCAAAGTAAGTATTACACAACCCACTTTTATGTAAAACAATCATTAATACCTCCCCTTTTCTGTAAACGAATACCTAAACCCCTCCTCCGAGTGTAAACAAAGCATCAAACATCTAAATAAAGCCGTAAACCCCCTTTACCTCACCACCCCCCCCCCCCCCCCCAGCCCCCAAAATTGACCCGTGATGGCCGGAGTGGCCCGACGGGGGGTGACACGACCACCCAGGTTCCCCTCCCCATGGCCAGACCCCCAAACCTCTTGGGGATTTCCCCTCCTAAACCCCTTCAACCAACCCCAGCACCCCCAAACTGTCCCACTCCCCATCCTAATGAATTCCCCATATTTTTAGGCAGGATGATGGGGTGTCCCCTCTCCCAACCTCCCTGTTTCAAGGAAATTAGTGCCGCCCTATTCCTCAATCCGCTTCTCATCTGACCTCCAGACTTTCTGGCGTCAGGAATTATCTTGTGACCAGCAAAAAAAAAAATTAATTGCGGTAAAACTGAGGTTACGATGGAGAAACCAGATTTAGGTCAGCCCCTGCGAGAGGCCTGGAGGGTTTTTTATTTTGGAGGGGGGAGATGAGATTTACAGGCAAAGGGGTATCCCAGTAGAAGTGATGGGGGGGGGGGGTGTGAAGCAAACCGCTTTCCTGAATCATCACTGTCTCAAAATTTATAGAATCTTATAGAGAACGTCCACAGAAAAAGGCCAAAGCTGGAGCGATCTCGAGTCCCCCGTGGATGTCACCGCAGCGAATGGCACATGGAGGGGTCCCACAGAGATGACAGCCCTGCAACACCCGGATTGTGGATCTGTATGAGCCCAAGGGGCAAAATCTCCCTCCCCCAAATACTGAYTTCCGTGGGATTTAGTTATGGGGGGGGGCATTATGGGGGCTTGATTATGAAAGTATGGAAGGGACTCTTCAGCTTTCTTAAAGCAGCAAGCGTGRGACCCTGTTTGGCCCTGGGGTCCCAGCTAATGAGGGGTGCAGGGGGCGAGGGCGCAGGGATCTGGACCAAATTACTCCAGGCCACGCTTTATTATAGACCTGTCCAAATTCCAGTTCGGTAGTGCTGGGGTTTATTTCCACCTCCTCAAAGGGGTCTGGGGACTGCAGGCTCGAGGGCACCCCTCCTCCCCACACCTCCCTCAAGCCATGAGCTGCTCAACAGCAGCCCCCCCAAACCCTTGAAAGCAGCATCCAGCACTTTTTGGGTTTGGATTATTTTTGTGTCTTTTATTTCTCTCCTCCTCCCCTTTCCCGCCTCACTCGTTATGAATTTCCTGGGAAATCACCTCCATGTAAAGGATGGTAGTTTGGGAAGAGGCATAGTTACCCCCCTTAACCTGTTTTGGGTCAAGAGCCAACAATCAAATGCTCCCCGCCCCCCCAAAAAAATAGAACAACATAAAGTTCAAAAATATTTAAACATTTTTTAAAAATAAAGAAATTTAAAACGTAATGATTAAAAAAAAAATTAAATGTTACAAAACATTTAAAAACTCTTTTCAAACGACCACCTGAATCTTTGTTACGACTTCCCCCCAATGCAAAACGCCATCGTACAGCCTCTGCTTGTTCCCATACACCCGCTCTCATTTCCCAAGGGATGGGTGGGGGGGGCAGAAAGGCTTCAGAGGGACTCGGGGGGGGAAGCTTTTGTTTGCAGGGGGGTTTTGTTGGCGGCGGTTCCCACAGGCCCTGCCTGGGCGGCGGGACCCGCTGCCTTTGCCCAGCTGTGGCCCGGGCCCTCCAGCTGTGTTGATCTAACTCCCGGCCCCAGACAGCCTGGCGCCAGCCCTGCGCACGTCATGCATTCACACAGGGATGCGTGGCCAAGGCAACCTCTCCCCCCCGCAACACCACCACCAGCACCACCACTGCGGCCACGCTGCCGCTGTATTCTGGGGGGAGTCATTCCAATCCTGGGGTACCCCGAGTGTGTGAGAGGGCTGGGAGCAGAGTGGTGTTTTTATGCGATCAGCCCGAGTTTGTGTCACARCCCCCTATCCCCCGGATGGGTCACTTTTGACCAGAGGGGTCACTTTTAGGGTGCTGTCACACTGGCAGCTCTGCGTTTGGGGTGTCTTCACGCAGCAGCTGCGGGGGGAGCAGATTTCTTGGTGTGAAATGGAGAAAATGGGGGAGGGAAGTGAGTGGGAATGCTCCGGAGCATGATGATTTCATGGTGAAAGGGCCCACACTGGGTGTTTTATTAAAGGGAAAACTAAACCAAGTAGGAGAAGCGAGAGCTGGGGTTGTCCACCTCGGCAAGCACTCCAAAATGATACAAACCCTCCCCAAATCCTCTAGGGAAGGGGTGACCTTGTACCTCGCTACAACTCAGCTTTTGCCCCCACCACCTTTCCCCCTTTCCTGGGAACAGATCATCAATTCCATGGGATTTGACCACCCTGMAAATACCTGCAGAGGTCTCTGTGAATTGGGGACGGGAGGGGGGGCGGTTTACAAGCAGCTGCTTCYCCCCTACCCCTAAACAATCTACCCCTTGGGCTTGGGTTTGGTTTGATAGGTTTTTTTTGGTTTTTTTTTTCCCTGACATAAGTCGGTACAGGTGGCAGGATGTGAGGGATGTACCATGGAGTGGAAAGGGCCAGATTTCGCCTGGCTCCTGCAGGGCAGGGAGGGTGAGCATGGGGGTCCCTGTGTCCCAGGGGAACAACACCGGCTTTTTGGGTGGAAATTCTTGTCTTTTGGATGCTGGCAGCTGCCTGGAAGTGCTGGCTGGGGGGAAGGGATTTGGATGGGATAGGGGAGGAACAGAGATGTGGCAGAGCGCCCAAGGCAGCTACAAAGAGAAGGGCTCTTCCCCAGGGGTCATCTGGATTCACTTTCAGATGGGGCTGCCATATAAATTCCGTTTACCAGGGATCTTTGCAGACCCTCAGGATTCATCAGGACCAAGGGAAGTTGGGGGACCTGGCTGGCTCTGTTCCAGCTAAGCACTACATGGGAACAAGAAAACAGAGATTTAATTTTTTGATTTTTGGAAATACATCAAGCCAGACCCACAGCCTGGGCACCCACGTGGCATGGCACAGCAGCGATCCGAGGGAGTTTTGGTGCTGGAGAAGAAATGTACATGGATGCTCAAGGGAAAGAAAGAATTCTGGTGTCTTAAAATGGCTCTGAGATCTCTTTGTCACCTTCTGCCCAAAGCTGTGTTTGGCATGGGGAGGCAGCCTGGCAGCATTTGGTGATCCTGCTGCACACTGYGTTGTAGTTCTCTTGACACCCCAATTCATGCTGGGGCCAAGTGGCTCATGCTGGCTCCTGGATGGACAGTGATTTCAGGATGGGCAGGGACAGGCATTGTGCCCTTGCTCCAGCCATTGGTCACACATATGATGTGCTGAAAAGTCCCCATGCAATTTGACAAATCCTCCCTGGGATCCATGTGGCCACAGTGACACTGCTATTGTGAGCTATGATGTTCCAGATTTGGGGTGTTTCCGGATCAATGGGGATTATAAATTGGAGCTGGCAGATGGATGGGTGGATGGATGGGTGGATGGATGGATGGATGGATGGATGGATGGATGGATGGATGGATGGATGGATGGATGGATGGATGGATGGATGGATGTCAGAGTCCACAGCCCATGCAGGAAGGAGCCTGGCCATAGCCACGTGTCTGCTCTGTGCCTCAGGTTACCCCCCTCACCCACCACAGGGACCCTCTGCTCAAGCCAGACAATGCTGGAGGCTCTGTAATGGGCAGTGAATGGGGCTGGACAGCAGAGAGTTAGGGGGGGAAAGGAGTGGCACCACAAGGAATGTGCACCCAAAAAGTGGCAGTGAGGTGTCCCCCCTCCCAAGCTCTGTCCCCAGGAGACCTGATCTGGCCCTGGGGAATGTGCAGCTGTTTATGGAGCGAATTAGCCCCGGCGACCCCCCATTGACCCAGTCTCCAAGACAGGAACTGAGTGTCCCATCCCAACCCAGCCTGGAGGCAGCACCCAGGATACTCCCTGCTGGTTATCATTAGGGATGAGAGTGAGCCCCATGAGGCATTACTTTGCTCCATCTCCATTACCATCAGACCCAGAGGGAACCCCATATTCCCATAAGGAATCAGAGACATTCTTCAGGGCAAACCATGGGCACCTCCATTCTACACAGAGGAGAGGCTGTGATAATCAGAACATCCCTGGGTAGTGGTCAGAGCAGGGGGTGACAGTGGGGTTGGGGGTCATGCAGGCCCAGGCAGTGTTGTGCAGGCAGCAGCGGCTGTTCCCAGCACCAGGATTCCCCACAGCTGTTTCCTGCTGCCGTATCTCGCAGGCACATCTGGGGGGGCCAGGAGCAGCTGCCACTCCCGGTGYTTCCTGTGCTGACCCCCCCTGCCCTGGCCACTGTTGTCACGGCCTCCCGCCAAGGCTGGACAGAGTCCCCCACTTCTCATTCCCACCCCTGACATGGCAGCAGCCCCTGAGTCTCCATCTGCACCCGTGAGGGGTCTTTTCCACCACTTGACTCTTTTGGGGCACCCCTCAGTGTTTTGGGGGAACTGGAGCATCACACCGCAAGGAGCCCAAGACCAATTASGTCATGCCCTGTGTCCCCCATGACCCAGGCCCTGGCACGGGGAGGGAGGTCCATTTGGATGCCCCCAGCAGGGTGGCTGCTGAGGTGCTGTGCCACTGAYGGAGGTACACTCACAGTTTGGTGCTCAGCCCACTCATTTTTCCACTCCTTTCTTCCTCCACATTTTTACTCCCGTTCCTCCCCAAATTGCATCCATCCAAATTGCATCCCTCCCAAAGGAAGAGGAGGATGGGGCTGGCGGTGCAAAGGCTGCAGGTGTGAACGACTCTACTTGTCCCTCTGCTGCAGGTGTGGAGACACTGGGGTGACTCACAGCAGCCTGGGCCCCGCTGCCACTGCCAGGGTAACTGTGAAGCCACTCCCGCCTCCCACAATATTCTCCGGGGGCTGGCGTGTGGTGGCAGGGTGGCAGTGGGCACCCAAAGCTGGCAAGGCTTTTGCCACAGCCTCCCCCCAGGCACGGGATGCTGCAGCCCTGGCATGGTCTGAAGAGGGGAAACAGGCACGGGGAACAGGAGCCCAGCCTGTGTTATGTGGGGGTTCCAGGAGGAGTTTTGCTGCTCCCTGCAGCCCTGCCCCAATCCCTTTCTTAGGACCAYGAATTCCTCCCCCCAGGTCCTGCTGTACTGCAGGATGTGGCTTTGCCACGCTCCTTATTACACTTGGAGACCAACTCATCCCAACCCCCATCCTTCATTGTCCAGCTGTAAATCACATCAGCCCCAATAATCCTCTTCCCAAAAAACCTGATACACACCCCTCAAAACACTGAAACACCCCAGCTCCTCTCCAAAACCCAACACAAGCTCCTGGCCAAGCCATTCATCTCCACTACCCCCAGAATGCCACAGCATCACACAGAAGAGCCCCTCCACGGAAAAACATGACAGGGGGTCGGCGTAGAGATGTTTTATCTCGGCCTCCATCTGCCCCTAATAAGACAGGTTTATTTTTAGTGGAGGTGAAAGCTGGAGCTACCAGCTCAAGAGTTTTTTCCACTCACATCTGCATTTGTACAATTTGGGCTTCCTGTCGTGGTTTCGGTGCTTTTCAAGCCTGCCCAAATTGTTATTTTCTTTGCTCAGCAAAGAGCCCCACAGATCCCTCCCTCCATTTCACCATATAAATATCTTGCCAGCATCCCCTCCCCAACCTCCCCTCTGTAACATTCCCAGTCATCTGTCTCCTGCCACCCTGAAACCTTGGAATGGGATCCTAGCCTCCCATGGGGTTAGGATGCTGGTGAAAGTTCAGACTGGACCAAATGATTCCAGTCCTGGATTGTACCTTTCCAGCCCCAGTGAAGCCACTCTTCAGACCCTGAGTGAGGAACTGAGGCAGGGAGGGTGTCAGTGCTGTGGTTTGTGGATGGGGACCTCCCATCTTGTCCACCCCCAGGGGCCTTTGGGTTGCGTGGACATGCTGGATTTAAGCAGGAGTGGGGAATAAATGTGCGGGGAAAGGTTGTGGCCTCCCTCTGCTGGGAACCCACTCCACGGAGACCGGCTCAACTCATCCCAGGTGTGCCAAGGGATGGGGTAAGTCGTGTTTGGCGCAGGCACAGGGGGAAGACACCTGGATGTCCCCCCCAGCTTCCTCTGACACACAGAGGAAGGCCTTCCATCTGTCCGGAGCAGATGCCAGGTGAGGCGCAGTGGCAGGGTGAGGAGGGGCTCATTTGTCTTCTCTCCTCATGCCACATCCTTGCAGGGCTCTGTGGGAAAGGGAGCGCATGGGGCTCATCCCCAAGTGCTTGTCCAAACCCACTGGAGCTGTGGCTGCACAGTCCAAGGACCCCTGGGGATTGGCCAAACTGGGG